CCCCAAAACCCCAAAACCCCAAAACCCCAAAACCCCTGGTTGTGAGTGGAGTGTTGAATCAATTGCATAAATTTGGATTACTTAAACATCTTGTGACTTCCTTTCTCGATGCCTGAACTCATGTCCATGGTCTTTTTGTTCCTGCGGATTCCTTCTTTCAACATCAAGTACTTGAGGCCGAAAGACTCTTTGCCTTCGTCTTCATCAGAAGATCCCGTGAACTTACCGACATCGTCGTCTTTGGTCGGTGACTTCGCTTCAGGAACATCTGAATTCTTGGATTGAGGTTCTAAATGATTATCAATATCGAATCCTTACTATCTTCAGTCACTTCGACAACTGGAGGCATGGAAGTTTTCTTTTCTTCTATCGGTCTTGCGTACCCTAATTCCATGATCCCATCTAATAACGGATTATTCATTGCAGCTGACACAAACTCATCAAAACTGATCCCAGCATCGATATCATCAGATCCAGTTGCATCTTGGAAAAGAGCATGGATTTTCCAACCTGGTATTGTCTTATCCATCTCTATTACTAATTCTTTGAATTCTCCAAAATCAATCTTTCCGTCTCCTGATGTATCATAATGCTCGAATAATCTCTGGAACTGGAACCTAGCTTGGTTCAAGAACATGAGGGAGAACTTCAGACCTGCATTTAAGTACTTTTTCGAAGCGATTTTGATCTGATATTTATGTCTATAAAATACAGCCATTGACTTGACTCTCAACTTCTCATCATCATTAATCTTTGAGATATGCTTCCCGAAAAATCTATGAATGAATTCTTGGAAGGAGTTGTCGTCCGTAAAAGCATGCTCGAGGTCCTCGAACTCCACATGCTCCTCAAGAAGCCCTCTTAAAGTAGAGATTGAAAGCATCCCTTCATCATCTGCAAATTTCAGAAGTATCTGGATGATGGGGATACTGTATTTGTGTAACAAGTTAGTATAGAACATTACTAGGACATATATCTGAAGCTTCTCTTTGGTCCCGATGTCGACCAGCATCTTATTGTTAACTAATATCGAACTATCTACTATAAGCTCTCTCCTCATTTCTCTTTTAAAAGTGCTTGAAGCATTTCCGAATATCTCAAGGTTCTTCTTAATAATCTTAGAAGTTTCAAGATGTAACTTGTCTGCTTCTGGTGAGATTAGTGTTCCAATCGGCTCTTCAGTAGCCTTCATGACTTTAATATAAAAATACAGAACTTCAATGTGATATTTTTCGTCTGTCTCAAATCCTAAAAATTTGGCAAAAGCGTCTATCCTTCTATCTTCGTCCTTGAAAAACTGGAGACCCACCAGGAACTTTTCGCAAGTTTGTTTGATTTTGTTCTTAATACCAAACCGTTTCTCCATTACGGAGTACACAAACTCTTCGAATGAAGTGCCTAGACCTTCTCCCTCTAACAGAGCTTGAGTCTTCTTATTGTAAATATGGGAGATTAAGCCTAAAATATCCTTCAGAGGTAACGCCTGATACTTTGAAGAGCCCATTTTGACCTTCCTCATAAGCTTGACAATAGGCTTGTTCTCATTCTGAGCCTTGAGCTTGAACAAATTATCAGCTTTTTCGGTAAACTTAACATTTGTGCAATCAAGGACAGTCTGAACGCTCTTATTCTCCTTCTGTGTGTTCTGTAATTTACTGCTTAAATTCTTGATGACTCTGGCATAATTCGCATTCTCTTGCTCCTTGCTCCTAGCTAAAAGGTTAGTTACAAAAGCTGGTACCAACAATCTCTGCATTTGTAGATTTCTCCTTCAAATATTCCACCAATCCCTTCAAATTTTGGGTATCTATACAGGTTAAGGAGGTTTTACCCATGGCTAGTCTCTTGTTTCTCTCAAGAGTGGTGTCGACCTCTATCTCCCACTTAGACTTGTGATCTAGGATGGTGATAAACCTCTCAGCATTAATCAGCAAGGCAAGCTCTGTCTTATCAATAGTCTTGTGATCGCCATTCTTGATATGAGTTTCAAGCAATTTGCTTGGGTCTAACTGGTCGATCCTGTTCTTCAGCTTTTTGTTTATCTTTATTCTGTCCCATTCATAAATCCAGCTGTTGATTTCAGAACTTAAGTGCTTCTTCTCAAGCTCAAGGATGACTCTAGACAGAATAAGGCGAATTGATTTACCGCTTGTCTTCTTCTTCATGAACTTTACCTACCATTTGCTTGATGGCTCTTTTGTGGGCTTCGAGGTTCTCCACTGTCAAAGTGTCATTTTTAAGCAACCCTTCTAGGTCATCTGGCAATGAATCTGACTTGAGCATGACTTTTCTCTCTGCTTTTAGAAGTTCAAAACTTCTCTTGACATACCTAGATAATCAATGATTTCAATTGTTAAATAAAGAAGATCAAAAATTAGGGCAGAAAATGACTGAATGAGAGCAGGAATGAAGCAGAGAGCTGAAATTAAGGACCCAAGCTTTGTCAATCCGTTTAAAACTTGACACTCTATCCAGAAAAGTTCTAAGCTAGATGAGATATTGTTGAGAAATATGTGAGAAAATTCATACTTAAACCAGCTTCTTTCGTTATGCATGAAATATCCTTTGAAAACTTTGAGTAAGAGGTAGCCGAGATCTCTGTTGGTAAAAGACACCTATAAACAAAGTAAGTACTAAAATGAATACCTGTCTTGCGATCTCCTGCATAGCAAAATTGAGAGTTAAGGCTCTATACTTATCCTTTTCATCATCTATAGCCCTCTCTTTAGTCTCCTCTCAACTGCTATTGTTAGTCCTATTCTTTCCAGTATTCATCTCGTGATTTTCTTCTTCAATAACAGGATCCCCATCAGCCTTGGGTGTATCGATCTTGACCAAGGCTTGCTCCAAACCCTCATCTTGTTGTGTATCCTCACATTTATTCCCTTTTAGTCGATTTTCTAAAGAATTAAACAGATCAGCAGGTAAAATATTACTATGATAATCTTGCATAATTTTCCAGTAAGGAGCACCCTCGACCAGATCTTTGACTTCTCCGTTCATTTTCTCAATCCAGTCGTAAATCTTAGGATCAATTGTGTTATAAAGTCGATTGCTGTCTATGACCTCTTCGATTCTAGACATAAAGGTTAGGAAGAATCATCCAAGATTTTGATTTAGTCCCAACCTCTTGAAGGGATTGAGTCACGAGAAATTTCCAAAAATTCTTGAGGAAGGCGTAGCCCTCAAAGCTAGTTTTTGGCCCATAGGTCATTATAGTCATCAAGTAGGGTATTAATTGCTTACTTTTTGTCATGTGGAAGGAAGTCCTCAATTTTCAATTTCCTGTCAACTAGCTGGTCGATCTATCCGATAAGTCAGACAACAAGATTTGTGCAAGAAGAGCTGTACCTTGCTTGAAAGGATTTCAATAGCTCTGGACCGCTTGTTTTTATAAATCGTTGGAGACCATTTTCTGTTCTTTCACTATTAACATTGTCAGAGAATTTCATAAGTTGGGACTTTAAGAGATCCTGAAAAGATACAAAAATAGTTCATGTGAGATAAGTTTGAGAGTATATGCCAATTCATAATTTTTACATTGAAAGAGCCAAATTCTGACTTCAAGGTAGATACCCCTCCTGTTCTTCCTTTCTTAGCATCTTCAGCAATTGGATTGTAATCGTCTACTAGGGAAATCAAATTCTGATTGAAGAACAACAAGTCATTTGAGGTCAGCTTTATTGGAGGCTCTTCAATATCTATGTCTCAATAAAGGACCATACTCGTGTTTCTTAGGCTACTCAATGGGTCTTCTTGAGGCTGATGGATCTGGCTGATCTTGTGATCAAACATTGATGAGTTCGCATAATCTAATTTAGTTTAAGCAAATAAGTACCTTTCAACAAAGTATCATCCAATTTAGACCCTTTAAGCAAGGTTTCATCTATGCCAATCCTTCGACTAGTCTTACTTGAAGTATTGTGGTTCTGGTTGGTTAAGAAAAAGTTGTCATCTCTAAAGCTGTCAACTCTTAAGCTTACTTATCATCCTTGATCTCAGGTTCATCTTTACCCTTGAGTGCTCCATCAGTGAGCTAAAAGTTGTTTAAAATGCTTACCATTAGAGTCTTCTGGTCCCCTGTGTTCTCAATAATAGACTCTCTTGGGCTAATAGGTGCTTTAAACTCATTCAATTCCTTCAGATCTTTCAGGTCCTTCAGATCCTTCAGGTCCTTCAATTCCTTAAGAATACTTGGCTGCTCGGGCCCAATACCTTTAATGTAGAACTCCTTCAGATCTTTGGCTTGTTTCAGGAATTTGTTATTTGGGTTGAAAAGCTTCTTATACATAGGTCCATAACTCTTCTTTAGTTTGCCCTCTCGATCCATAATACTGTCCATCCGTTTTTCAAGTGATACTGAAATATTGAATCTTTTAGGCCTATTTGTCCTCATTTGCCTCTCACGGCCAGCTGCTCTTGGGCTTAATACTAGTTTCTTCAATTTCTCATTCGTTGAAAATCCTTTGACTGTCTTCTTAATATTAGATGTGTTTATAGAAGGGAAAACCTGCTCTGAAAAGCTCTTTTTCATTTTATTTTTATTATAAAAAATTCATAAAAGGGGTTTTGGGGTTTTGGGGTTTTGGGG